TTTCTCTTCCCTTAGACCTCTCTGTTGCAGAGACAAGGAACAATGCCATAGTCCTCTGGCAAGTGACTTCCTTTCTGTGCTTTAAAACTGCTCTCAGGTGTTGTCAAGCAACTATGAACTTGGTTAAAGTAATCCAGAACACTGAACTTGGAAGGCTGAGGCAGCATAGCCCAATAAGTCTCTTCATGTTCATCACTGGATTTGGTTTTTACCCTTAGTGAATCAGTGAGCCATTGGTGGGTTTTGAGCTGCAGAGGAATGTGGTCTGTCTTGGGGGTCATATGTTGAAAATATGGAGGGAGTGGGGCAAAAATAGTCAAACAGAGAGACCAGTTGGACAGTTACGGCAAAATCTAAGTGGGAAATTTTTACAGCTTGGACAGAGTGGTCAGATTTGGATATATGTGAAGGCAGAGGTCACTGAACTTCCTGCAGGATTGAATTTGGGGTGTGAAAGAAAAAGCAAAGTCAAGGATGACCCTGAAGCTCCTGGAACAATGTGGATAATATTAATGAAAATGATTTGCCGAGGGAGATTTAGGGACAGGGTTTGGGACATGTTAAGTTTGAGATGTCCTTCAGACACTATGTGGGTACTGATCAGTGCCAATTTAGCTGAGACAGAACCACATTCCCCTGTATGCTCTTCTTTGTATGATTCCAGACCGATTGCACCATGAATAAATTTGTACCATTTTTTGGAAGGTGGAGGTGAAGCAGCAGCCACCACATTCTGAAGATGAAGTTGGCGCTCTGTTGAAGGTTGCACACATTGCGGCTGATGAGCCCACCGCCTTGTTGCCCTGGGATAGTAAGTAGTTCAGCCTGAAGCTCCTCCAGCTCCCTTTATGTCTCCTCTTTTAACTTTGCAGACTCCTTGGGCAGGGGTATGTGAGCCCCCTAGCAAAGCCAGCCAGATCCTTTGGCAGGTCATCATGTTGAAGCTGGAGGCAGTGTATCAGGTCTAGTTCCAGTTTTTCATGGTGGGTTCCTGTTGGTGCTGTTCTCTTCCTCTTCAGGTCCAACTCTTCCTTCTGGTTACCAGTCCCATTACCAGAGACTGAGCCAATAACTTTTCTTTAGCTTCTCCCACATTTGCAGAAATTCCCATCCTATAATAAAGCCCTCATTCCCTATGCTTCATAGAGGTTCTACACTTCAGATTGAACCCAAACTGATGTGATACCCAGGTGAGATGTTAGGTAGGTCACTAGATAGAAGAATCTCAAGTCCAAGGGAAAGGTCCCAGGTAGATGTAAAAATCTGGAAGTTTTCAACATGTAACTGCTATTCAAAACCATGATGCTGGATCATACCACCCAAAGAGAGAGCTCATAAATGGAAGAAGAAGAGGTCTAAGAATCAAACCTTGGGCCTAGGTACTTACAGCTCAGGGGAGGGACACATTCCGTGCCACACAGAACAGGGTCACCCAGGGAACTGAGTGAACTGGAAGAGACTGTGGGAGCCTGGATTTGGAGTAACAAGAGGGTTGAGGACCCCTGGTTCTCACTGAGGATATTATTGACTTACTGGAATAATTTCACAGGACAGCAGGGAAATAAAACCTGGAAGGCTAAAGACCAGGAGTGCAGCTGGTCAGGCTGATAAAGGAACTTGCTGGATGGAGAATCTCTCCTACTGAGAGGAGGCATATCTAGTGAGAGCTAGGTACCTCATGGTCAGGAATTTGGGGCCCTGTGAGGCTCAGAGATGTCAAGGTAGCACTTGAAATTTCAGGTCCTAGAATATATTTGACCCATGTTCATGACTTCAGCAGGAGGTAGTAGGTGACTTCATAGTTATCCTATATGATACGGCATGTGGTTCAGTCTGGGAGATTTTAGGATAAGGGAGAAAGGGTGTCCGTGGAGTAATGAGGAGAAAAGATATCTCATTCACTCCCACACACACACTGAGACAGCTGAGGATAAGCAGGGTCCTCAGGGTCCTCACAGGGGATTCAGGTGTCAGTTAAGCAGTGAAATGAAAATTCAAAAGATGAATTTGAAGAGATGAGGAAATCAGCTGTTTCTGTCTGAGTTCCAGGGGGCATGGTGATGGATGCCAGGAGTTTTGGAAGAGTGAGACATGACCGGAAAAAAAGATAATGTACAGGAGATACTGGTGACCAGGGACCTGAGGTTTGTGACAGATATAAACGAGGATAAAAGGTACGATGATATTGGACATGAAGGTCTCAGAGAAGAGTGGCAAAGATGACCACCTGGTGAACTAGCCGGTGAACTAGGGAAGAGTAGACAGGTTCTGGCCTGGCACTGCCACTAATCATTTATAACATCTTGAATTAATATCTGGGCTTCACTGTCCATGTGGAGGGGGTTGGAGGAGAACATTTTGGGTAATCTCAGCCCATGATTTAAGATCTTAGGTACAGCTTACGTAGCCTTGGTGTTGGGGAAATAATTTGCTAATCTGGTGCTTGGCCACGTCCAGCTCCCCCAGTGCGTGGATGCACAGGACTGACAGCAGGACCAATTCAGAATCACTCATGGCCATTCATTCCTTCCTTTCTGCCCGCCCCTTGCACTTCTGACTCTCACAGTACCAGTTTCTTTAGGTGCCTTGATTCTCAGGTAATCTGCAAACACCTGTCCTCTTTACTCTTATCCTATCGATCTGGGATTCTGATTCTCCACTTGACTTTTCATCTCACCAACTCAGACACCCTCAGTTCCTCCCATGGTCAAGGCCCAAGGGCAGGACTAACCCAATTACAGGGTTCTTAAATCTCCCTGCTGACCAGTATTTGTTTACAAAGGGCAGGAAGTCGTTTCCTCCTCTCTCTCTCTCCCGCCACACAGACACGCTCTACAAAGCTTGCAGAGAGGTCTTGAATCAGGCTGTTCTTTTCGAGAATGTCCTAAGATAGAGGGTAAGTGCTGGTCAGCAGGAGTCCTGGCTTCAAAGGCAGCTTTAGTTCAAACTCTCCACTGCCCTCCACATGTGTGAACTCCTTTCTTTCAAATGTTCTACTTCTATGCCAAGAAGCAGTTCTTTACAATTCTGCATAAAAGTACAGGCAGTTCACAGGCGCTCTGAGACCCACCCAAGGATGAACCCTTGAGAGTCCCATAAAGCCCCTTTGTTTATCTGGCATGCCTGGGATCTTGTTTTAGTCAGCTTTTTCTTTTTCTTTTTTTTTTTTTTTTTGCTGCTATGACTAAGGATCTGACCTGAACAATTATAGAGGAGGAAGAGTTTACCATAGGGCTCAAGGTTTTAGAGGTCTTATTCCATAGAAGGGTGGCTCCATTCCTCAGGGCTCAAGGTCCTGAGGCTGAACATCATGGCTGTCGAGGGTGGCAGAGGGAAGCAGCTATCATCAGGGTGATCAGGAAGTAGAGAGCGAGTTTTCCACTTGCCAGAAACAAATATATACCCAAGGTCACACCCCAGTTCCCACCTCTTCCACCCTACCACTTCATTACCACTCAGTTAATCCCTATCCAGGGATTAAATCACTGATTGGTTAAGACTCTTACAACCCAATCGTTTCTCCTCTGAACCTTCTTGCATCGTCTCACGTGAGTTTTGGAGATCCCTCACACACATACATAACAAATCCCTTCCTGGGAATTTTATTTCCTCCTTTTCAGAAATAAAGAAAGCACCAGAACAGGTTGCAGAGGCTCCATTCCTTCCCTCATCTCAGGGAAATGAAATTCCCAGGACAGAGAGGGATAAAAGTCACATCACATAAGTGCTTCCAGCACTGCCAAGGGTCTGTTCTGCATGTCCAATGATTATCTGAGATGTCTGATTAAGAAGTTTCTCTTTGGTGTTGAATAAACTGTAAGGATTTCACATCTAGGTGTTTCCCCGTCACTCCATGAGGGCAAAGGGACATATAAAAGCCATCTCCTCCTGCTACCTCCATAAGCCCTCATTTGTCCTTGAAGTCTCACTCCTATCTTCTATCCTACTCAGCTATGTCATTGTCATCATGGAATTAGGCAGACATTGCATCTGCATACCACACAATCCTAACACATTGAAACTTAGTCATTACTATTGATGACATGAACCATAATATTTGTTCTCCATGGGAACATAAAGCTTCACATGAGGTTGCACGTTTTCCAATGTTTTTTCCTGATTATTTGTAAGCGTAGGCTCTTTATGTGGTCCTCAGTTGTCTTCAAAGGGAACAGTGACATTTCCTGTTGGTTAGCAACTGCTCTGCATGGCAATTGGTGATCTGATCTGTCTGGCTAAGAAGTTTCTCTTTGGCGTTTAGCAAGCTGCAGTGATTTCACATTGAGGTGTTCCCCACTCACTTGAGGGCAAAGAGGCATGTAACACCAACTTAGAGGATTTGATTCTAGAGCTAAAGGAAAATTTTATGGACAAGTAGAAAGGAAAAGGTATTTTTTTCTAACTCTGCTTTTTGAAGTTCAAATGTCCATCTTTTCTTTGGAAATAGATGGCATCTTATTTCAACATTTTTTCTAGGTACTGCTTTCTTTATAAAATTATTTGTCACCAACACAATGTTTTTTGCTATGATTTCATCTCTTGAACACTAATGAGATTATTAAATAAAGGGCAAAAGGAAAAATTTCTATTCCATCTTTTTAATGAAACTAGGTCTCCTGAATCAAGACAGACTTCAGTTTTCTAATTGAAAGTATCATCCCTCAATGAATGCTCATGAAAACTATCCCCATATATCTAACCAGGCGATATTTCATCATTCACAGTATTCTAGGCTGCCTGAATCCTCAAATGTCATGTCCATGGCAATCTGATTTTATGTCACACTGGACTGAGACTGACAAAGCCAAGCATAAAACACACCACAAAGCAGTCTGGAAAGATACCCTAAGCTACTTCCCCCAACATGTGAGGACTCCTCTTTTTATACAATCATGTATATAGAAAGGATAGAATTTTTAAGAACCCAAACATTTCCTCCTAAAATATTCTTTCTAGTGCTTTGCTTCAGAAGAAAGTTTCAGTTCAAAGCAGTGACTTACCAGGCTTGGATCTGCCAGCTCCTTGGAGAGGTTCCTCTTGGGGTTTCAGGTTGTGTCTGAAACTTAAAATGTAAAACGCATTCAGTTAAGTTGCCTGGCGTTAGTAACTTTGTTTCTTCCAGCAGACTCCACAACAGAGTAAAATCCCAGTCCCTTCTCTCCGCAAAAAATCTTCAAATTATTTTCTTCCTCTTCTTCCTTCTCTCTATATGCCAAGTCATGGACGAAAAGCTCATAATCCTGGCTCACTTGTTATGGAAAAGGTGTAAAATGTACATGTAATCAGGCAAAGTGGGAAGTATCGATTGCAAAATGATTTGAAAGTTTCTTTAAATAGATGTAGCTAACCCTATTAGCTCTCTGCTTGTATGTGTTTGGCAAGAGACTAAGTTTTTTTTTTTTTTTTTTTCCAATGTAGGAGTGATATAAGTGCAGGAAGGGACACTTCTGCTAGCCAGAGAGAGAGAGAGAGAGAGAGAGAGAGAGAGAGAGAGAGAGAGAGAAGATTCTAAAACCAGCCAGAGAGTAATTGGACCCTTTGACTCTGACAGTTAATCCAAAGCACACTGCAGGAAGTGCACTGGTGAGCTGAAGTTAGAGAAACAGTGGCCTCTTATGGAGCCCCAGATGTCATACCAATTACATATGGTGTGGTGACTTGCAGTTTATTTAAATTGTCATTCAAGTTAAAATACAGAACAAGAGGGCTGCGGCAGAAAAGCCATTTTGGGCCTAATTATTCCGTTTCTATAGATTAGGTTGATAAGTTCTCATTCTGCTCTTATTCTCTGTCCTTCCTTCCCTCCTTCCCAGAAGTGGTGCCCTTCCTCCTCCTAGATACTGTACAGATGCAAACAGACTCCAACAAGCTTCATCTTTTAAAAAGTTACTATCGACATGTGAATTTTTGTTTCACATTCCTGCCTTCCTCTATGGTGATGAAAGCAAATAATCTTAGTGTTTATTTTGACAACCCACATCAAAAAAACATCTTACAATTAGGAAAAATTCTTCATCACTAATCAAAATGGTTTTGCCTACTTGGCACAAAAGCCAAGAAATAAGAAATTCAGGTTCTTCCACTAATCACTGTGTGCATTTATTTTCTTTTAGGTCATGTTTACAAATGTGAGCACGACTGAGACAACTAGCATGTTACCCAAAGTCTATAAACAAGCTGATCCTATTGGGACCAGAGAACCTGCACCCTGACTCTTCCCAGATGGGACATTTTGTGGGGTTTCTGGGAGCTGTGCTTCACCTAGTGATATGATGAGGTGACAGCCAGAGCAGAGAATGACAGTAATCATGGGCAAGGCCAATGCAGATTGTAGAGAGGAGAAAAAGAAATTAGAAGAGAGTTCTCTGAACTTTGAGTAGCATGTATTTGGTGGGAAACAACACCAATTCACAGAAAATGTAAAATAAAATCAAAGATAAATAAAAAGGAAGGTTCCATTTGTCAGAAACTTATCTGTTAAAGGTAGTTTCCATAGTTTTCACTGCAAGTGAGAGTACAAGGTCATGTGAGGTCGTACACTTAGTAGAAGACTCAGTCACCGCCCCATATTTTCTCAAATGAGTGGCCCTGTTGTTTTATATCATCTGTTCACCAAGCACAAAAACAGGAATTACCATGGATCCACATCAAGATTCTAAGAACTATTCTACTAGCTTTTAATTACTGCTTTCCCTGAGGGCACATTCCCTCTTCCCCAAATTATGCTTAGTTATATATAAATTTGTAAAAAAGTTCTCAACTCCTAGGTGTTTCATAATGTCACTGGCTGGGTGGTTTCCATTTATGCCTGAACACATTCTTGCTGAAAACATTTTGCAGCCCTGATGGAAAACCAAGAGGAATCCTGGCAAAGGTCCCCTTGAGGTTAGCAAACCTCATGAAATACTTTGTACAATGAAGCCTTGAAGCATTGTTTGCAATTGTGACATAACTGCATTTTTATCTACTTCCGGACTTGGTTTTCTATTTATCTGAGCAGTAAACAGCTCCCAAAGGTCAGACTACCTCACCGACAAGTACTCCAATTTCCTTCCAGTGAAGGCATTTACCTAGATGTGCTCCTGCAGCGTCTTCTTGAGCTCTATTCTCTTTCTCCTACGAAGGTCACCTGTCCCCTTTGCTGTGTTTTAGAATCTACTCCACTCAAGGGATAGAATTCTAAGTCAGACACAGAAGGATGTGGCCTCTCTATTCATTATGTGCTATCGCTGGGAAACAGTTAAAAGGGACATAGCACATCTGAACATCTTAAACACAACTGATCTCATTTCTTCTTCTTTTTTATTTTCCTAAATATTTTTTTCTCATTATAAAAACAGTAGAGACTCATTATGTACAAACTTTGGAAATTCCAGAAAAGTACAAAGTACAAAAATGATAATACAAATCAGACATATTACCATCAGCCAGAGGAAACCACTCTTAATCATTTCTTTATCCCATTCATATATTTATTTTTAATAATATTTGGATAGTAATGTGTTATGATTCTGTCCACCCCACATTATATCATAAACAACTAATTTCTTCAAATGTGATTTTAATTTCTACATGATATTCATAATTTGTTTAATTCTTCCCCCATTGTGCAGTATTTAGATATTTTCTAGTATTTTTTAAATTTTAAATAGTCTTTTTAAAATTGATTTTATTTTTTTTAAATACACGACAGCGGAATGCCTTACAATTCTTATTACACATATAGAGCACAATTTTTTATATCTTTGTATATAAAGTATGTGCATGCCAATTCATGTCTTTATACATGTACTTTTTTTGTATTACAATTCTTATTACACATATATACCATCATTTTTCATATCTCTGTATATAAAGTAGGTTGACACCCAATTCATGTCTTCAAACATGTACTTTGGATAATGACGTATGGAGAACATCTTTCCTGCCATTTGAAAATTGTCCTTAAGAGCCATGGATTTATCCAATAGTTATATATCCAATAGTTATAGATGTGTGCCAGGTGTCAGTCCCCTGAGAGGGGAGGTTTGCTGTCTTTCCTTCTTTCACTGATTTGTTCAGATGAGGGGCCCAGAGAGTCCCTTGACTTACCTGAGGCTATACAACTAGATATTAGAAATTTGGAATTCTTTGATTTTTTTTTCACTTGGTTCATCACTCTTGCTCAAACACTAGCATATCCTTTTTATTTTTTTATTTTTTTTTTTGAGAATTTTAATATTTATTTTTTAGTTATTGGCGGACACGACATCCTTGTTTGTATGTGGTGCTGAGGATCGAACCCGGGCCGCACGCATGCCAGGCGAGCGCGCTACCGCTTGAGCCACATCCCCAGCCCCTAGCATATCCTTTTTAATTCCCTTTTTTCTCTCTTTACTCATTTAGTTCCATTTTAGACTAACTGCTGCCACCCCATTCCAGTTCCTTCTGTGAAGCCACATCCAGAAGCCACCTAGCTGGCCTCCAGGACCTGCTTGTTCTACCCCTCTGAGTAACCTTTCTTTATGTCACTATCTAGTTTAAAAACTTCCCTGACTTTTTAGTGAAACCCTTCATGAACATAAGCACCTCTGCCTGGCTCCCAAAGCCCCGGGTTCACGCCTCGTCTATTCCACGAAACAACATGAGCCTTCCATCATATTTGAAATTATTTGATTTGAGTTCAGATCTCTGCCACTTTGGCTGGGGGGCAAATAAGTTTACAGTTTATTTCTGCATATACAAATAAGCACAATTATACTAATACCTGCCCTAGTAGCTTCCCAGGCCCTAGGAATGATGGAATATGTATTATATTTTGGTAAGCTGCTAAATGCTATATAAATGAGAGAAAATATTGTGCGTGATATCCATCAATGTCTATAACTTTGAACCATTTCAACATACAGTCTGTTCCACATAACAGCCCTGAATTATGTCAGGTCCATCATATTTTCTCAGTCTTATTATGTTAGTCACTTTTTCTCAGCTTGGCTATGAAGTCTCTGAATATAATACAGTATTCTTGTATTATTTCTGTAACTCCCAGGGCCTAACCCTGCACACTGTCGTGATGGCTAGTCCAATCTAGGTAAGTCCTAGTGGCAAAGTCTGGATGTGGGTACATTGGGATTTAGTTATAGGTGGAAGAGTTGATGAGGTCTCCTGGAGTGCAAAAGTCATAAACTCGTGGGAGTCCTAGAAGACTGGGATTAAGGTTGGTATACACTCTGTGAAGTCCATGAAAACATTCTCTCAATTTGGATCTTGCCTCTCAGAGATAGCAACTGAATTTTAATAACAACCCTCATTAGGCACATCAGAAGCCAGAATGTCCTGCAGAGATAGAGGAACAAAACTTGACCTTTGGTTGTTTCTATCAGAAAGGTCAGGCTGCCTGTGCAACCCATGATATGTTATTAAAGATAACATGATATGTTGTTAAAGACTGATGATGATCCACCTATGAATTGCTCATTTAATCTGAAGTTCACCTATCAGTTTTAGTTATCTAGTTACTAGAGTCCAAAAGAACATTTTTCCCTAATAGGTCTATCCCTTTAAAAAGTCAGTTATAGAGGTAAAATTATGGTTAATGGCAAAAAAGGGGTTAAATTAGAGTTAGGTTTAGTGCTGAGTTTGCAGTTAGTGTAGGGTCAGGGTTCAGCTTAAGATGAGGTTAAGTTTTAATACTAGGTTTGCGGCTAAGCTTCGATGCCAGAGTTAGTACTGGTGTTAGATTTAGGTTTGGGTTAAGGCTGGGTCAAGGTTAGAGTTGGGGTTAGGTTTCATCTAGATTCTTCGACACAAAGAATACTTTCAATTAAAGATATTCTTGAAAATTTCACTTTCGTCTTTCGCCTTTTTGTCCATTTTCTGAGGACTAGTGTAAGAATTGTTTGGAGAACTCTCCTCTTATATTATTCATTATACAGTTTTCCATAGTTATCAGAGTCTTTTTAAGTCTCTAGTACTGAAAGCAAGCAACATCTGTAACATCAACGTTGGCACCTAAAGGTCAATTTGTAGATGGCATCATATCATGGTATTGCTCTCTTTCTCTGTCATAAAAGCCGACACCATTAAGGCAAAAAACCCATGCTCTAGAATGCACTTATGTTTTACCCCCAAAACATTGTTTAACATAAACATTTATATATACTTTCAAAGCACCAGTCATTGGTTAAGTACTAAGGAGAAAACCATCCATTTAACAGTATTTCCAAATGATTAGATGTCA